CCTCCCCTGCAGCCTGGTCCCCCCCTAACTGCCCTCCTCTGCAGGCCATCTTGTGTCCACATGGGGGCAGCCATCTTGTGTGTTGGAGTGATGGTCAATTTGCATATTACCTCTTTATTATATAGGATACTAGAGGCCTGGTGCACAAAAATTTGTGCACTGGGGGGTGGGGAGTCCCTCAGCCTGGCCTGCCCCCTCTCACAGTCTGGGAGCCCTCAGGGGATGTTCTACTGATGGCTTAGGCCCACTCCCCACGCCGCAGTCTGGCCTCCCTCTGTGGGAGGTGACCAGACAGATCAGGGGAAGGAACTGCCCCCATCACCCTGCTGCTGCTGCCACTGCTGGCCACCGCGGCTGCCTGCCCTTGGCCCTTGCAGCTGCCGTGGCTGCCACCTGCCCTCGGTCCTCACAGCCGCCACGGCTTTGTCCGGAAGGACGTCCAGTCTATCTGGTCTAATTAGCATATTACCCTTTTATTAGTATAGATGGTCTCTATATCCTGGTAGCTCCCTAAATTACGTCTCCATCTTGATTCCTTCCCTGGCCTCCAGACTTTTATAGGCCTCTCAAATTGAGCATGTCCTAAACAGAACTCTTGATGCTCCCAGCAAAGCTGTTTCTTCTATAGGTTTCTATTGCAGTGAACGGTAAGCCATTCCTCTGTTTGGTATAAAAACCTTGGAAATATCCTGACTCTTCTCTTTCACACCCACATCAAATCTATCTGCAAATTATTTCAATCCTACCTTCAAATATATCTACAATCCAACCACTTCTCACTCCCTTGTCTAGTATTACCAAATGCAAGCATTACTTCTCATCTGGACTATTGCAATAGCTTTCTAAGTGGTCCCTGCTTCTACCCTGGTCCTTCTATGATTTATTCTCTACGTAGCAGCCAGAATGCTTCTTTGAAAGTCAGAACATGTCATTCTTCTTCTCAAAGTCCTCTAGTTCTCATGGCTTCTCATCTCACTCTTAGTATAAGACAGGGTTCTTACAACTCCTTTAGGCTTCACATTTTCCAGCTTCCTGCTACTTTCCTGACTTGTTTTCTATTACTTGCTTACACTGCTACAGCCACACAAACCTCCATGGAACTCCTTAAACACATCAAGCACTTTCCTGCTTCATGGTCTTGGCATTTGCTGCTTCCTCTGCCCAGAAACTCTTTTTCTAGAAACCTACATGGCTTATTCCCTCACTTCCTCAGGTCTCTGTTCAAATGTCAGTTATATGAAGACATTTCTTGACTATCTACATAATTAGCCTTTAGCCTCTCTTTTTAACCACCCCAATTTAATTTTCCTCACAGCATTTATCACCACCTGACACTGTATATCTCTATTTCTTTACTGCCTGCCTTCTATAAATTAGGCACTATGCTAACAAATGGGGATAGATACAAAGTCAAATAATAATTTACTGTGCCAGACCCTTTATGTGTATATTATTTTATTTAGTCCATTCAACTTATTTCCCTTCCTTCCCTCACTCTCTATATTAAATGCCTACCATGTATCAAAAGGTACTGGAGATACAACAGTAAATAAAAATGGAAATTAAGTCTCAGAAAATTGAGTACGCTACCCAAAAGGTTTACAGAATGCATATTTTAATATCTCTGGAAGGGTAGAGCACAATGCTCTTTGTGCACTATAGCCACAAAGTAATTGCACAATAAATTCTTATTTGATTCAGCCAACCATACTAAGTTTATCTCCTATTTGTAGAAGACTGAGAAATGTAACAAGTGATTTCTTGTAATATGTGCCTATAGTTCCAGAGTACAGAATCTATTAATAAAGATTATCACACAAAAATTTTGTTAGCTATATTTTAGGCTTCTTAAAACAAGTTTAAGTGAAATTTTGTTGTTTTTACTGTTTATATATGACTCCCAGACAAACTCCATCGGTATGGACTCTTTCTATTATCTCCCACATACTACACTCCAATAATTTTTTTTTTTTGAAAAATCTTGTCCAGCTTCTCTTCCAAACCCACAGCAGCCTCATCTCTTCTATATGCCTCTCCAGACTAACCCAACCTGGATCAGTAATTTTCTACCATCTGTAACTGTTCTTTTTCTACCCGCTCAAATACAGAATACTCAAGACCAATTTCCTTTGGGTATGCATGAGTAGGACTTAATCAGGCACTAACTGTAGGGCATAATAATTAATTAGGCATGGTTCCATTTACAATATTATCAAAGTTAATCATCTGTTCCTTTAAGTTCTACCTTTCTCGAACATCATAGATTATAGTCCATCTTCCTTAGAAGGAAAAGTGGATTTTTGTATTGTGCCTTGTGTCTTTAGTTATCTTTTACTTTATCTATACTGTAGTGTTTCTTTGAGAACAAGGGGTGGGCCTCATAATCTTTTGAATATACATGTGTAACCCAAGGCTTTCATATAAAGGAGCTGTTTAACAAATAGATTTTTTTTGGCTGTCTTGGTTATAGATAGAAAATCTAAATAGCTTAGTTATAACTGGATCTCCTGTGTGAAAAAGCTGAAATGTATAAAACTGAATTTTCATTTATTCTTCTTCATCAAGTCCTCCTCGTCATGGTAGAATGTCTTACCATAGTCAAAGTTGGAAATGACCTTAATTCATTAATTAACTAGTTTATTTTGCTTAAATGATTATTTATGCTCTCATGATACCTCTCTCTTACTCCAATAGACTGCAAATCCCTCAAAGATAGACTCTCTACTTCCTTATCAGCAATAACTATTAATGTGCTCTATACATAGTAAAAGTGCTTACTAAATCTTGACCATAAACATAGAGGGGGAAAATCAACCTGGTATATTTATTAGGAGATATCCTATATGGCAATAAATAAACAAGTAAGTGACTGGCGGTACCATGTACTGTAATGTGTAAAGAAAGAGAAGAAACAGGGTGGGAAATCAGGAGATTATTTTGGGATATGTTAAACTTAAGATTCTTACTACACATCCAATGGGAGGAGATGAGTAGGCGGTTTGTTATTTAAGTCTGGAGCTTAGGGGAAAGGTCACGGCTGGAGATAGCAATTTGGGAGTCATAAGTATTTAGATGGTTTTCAAAATCATGACTGCCGAATGAGATCAAAGATGAGTAAAAAGAAAAGACAGAGTATAGAAAACTCTTCTGAGGACCTCTGCATAAAGAAGAGCAGAGAAATGGGGAGGCAGCTTGCGAAGTGGGATTAAGGGAGGGTTTCTTTTGCTGTTATAATAGAAGATGTATTTGGATGCAGACAGAAATGATTGAGTACATTAAAAAAAATATCAGTGTAAGAAGAAAGAGAGGAACTAAATGCAGGAGCAAAGTTCTTGAGAAGGTGAAAGGGAAAGGGATCCAGGATAAAAGCACAGAGGCTGGCCACAGAAGAAAGCAGGGACAATTCAACCATGTGATAGAGGGGAAGACAAAAGATATGGTGGTACAGATGAAGTGATGGAAAGATTTCTTTCTTTTTAAAAAATATTATTTTTATTGCTTTCAGAGAAGAATGGAGAGGGAGAGAGAGATTGAAACAGCAATGATGAGGGAGAATCATTGATCAGCTGCCTCCTGCATGCCCTTTACTGGGGATCAAGCCCACAACCAGGACATGTGCCCTCACTGGGAATCGAACCGTAATCTCCTGGTTCATAGGTCGACGCTCAACCTTTGAGCCACACCTGCTGGGCAAAAAGATGATTTCTTACTATGATCTCTAACTCCTAACATCCTACTTCAAACCTTCATCATCAGTTCTCTTTGGGCTAGTATCCTCACATCTACTCATACTCTTCTAGTCTATCCTACATACAGTAGCCAGAGTTATCTTTAAATATAAATGAGGTCACATCATTCCCTTACTCCAAATGGTCCAATGCTTTCCCATTTCACTTAAAGAGAATGAAAGGTCCTATACACTCTTACGTTATTTAGTTCTTGTTTATCACTTTTACTTCGTCCATCACTCTCCCCCTACCCCCTTGCACACTTATCTAGCTTTCTTGCTTTTCCTTAAGCATTCCAAAGCATCCTCTCTTCTTAGGGACTCTGAACTTGTTCTCTCTGGTACATTCTTCTTCCAGAATATTCCAGAATATTTTCAGAGATCCTTTTCCTACTTATCAAGTTTCTGCTCAAATTTCATTTCCTCGGGGAGGCCTTCCCTCATTCCCCTAGGTCTCCCTTTCCCCTGCTGTACCTAACTTCAGAACACTTATCACTACTTGCCATTATGTTATATATATACTAGAGGCCTGGTGCACAAAAATTTGTGCACTTGGGGGGTCCCTCAGCCCGGCCTGTGCCCTCTCGCAGTCTGGGACCCCTCGGGGGATGTCCACCTGCTGGCTTAGGCCTGCTCCCTGGGGAATTGGGCCTAAGCTGGCAGTCAGAAATCCCTCTGGCAGCCCGAGAGTCCTTGGGGGATGTCCATTTGCCAGGGGGGGAGCAGGCCTAAGCTACAGTTGGACATCCTTAGCGCTGCTGAGGAGATGGAAGAGGCTCCCACCACCACCGCTGTGCTGGCAGCCATCAGCCTGGCTTGTGGCTAAGCAGAGCTCCTTCTGTGGGAGTGCACTGACCACCAGGGGGCAGTTCCTGCATTGAGCATTTGCTCCTGGTGGTCAGTGTGTGTCATAGTGACCAGTCATTCCCAGTCGTTCTGCTGTTAGGGTCAATTTGCATGTTACCCTTCTATTATATAGGATAGAGGCCTGGTGCACCAGTGGAGGCCTCCTGGATTGCCCTGAAGGGTGTCCTGGAGCTGGAGGGGGTCCCGCTGGGGTGACTGGCCAGCCTGGGTGAGGGGCTGAGGGTCGTTTTCAGACTGGCCACACTCCCTTCAGGGTGGGAGTCCCCGCTGGAGTGCCTGGCCAGCCTGGGTGAGGGGCTGATGGCTGTTTGCAGGCTGGCCACAGCCCCTTCAGGGTGGGGGTCCCCACTGGGGTGCCTGGCCAGCCTGGGTGAGGGGCTGAGGGCTGTTTTCAGGCTGGCCACACACCCTTCAGGGTGAAGGGTCCTGCTGGGGTGCCTGGCCAGTCTGAGTGAATGGCTGATGGCTGTTTGCAGGCTGGCCAAGACCCCCAGCGGGGACCCTCATCCCATGAGGGTGTGGCCATCCTGGGTGAGGGGATGATGGCTGTTTGCAGGCTGGCCATGGCCCCCAGGTACCCAAGCTCTCAGTGGAGGCTGGCTGGAAGCAGGTATCTGGGATTTATTCTATCTTCTATAATTGAAACCTTGTTGCCTTGAGTGGAGGCTACAGCCGGCCAGGGCAGGCAGGAAGCTTGGCTTCTTCCATCCCTGGGGCAACCAAGCCTCCTGCTTGCTACAGCTCCGTGGCTGCCAGCCGCCATCCTGGTTTGGTTAATTTGCATATAGTCCCTCTGATTGGCTGTTGGGCATGGCTTGGGGTGTAACAAAGGTGCGGTCAATTTGCATGTTTCTCTTTTATTAGATTAGATAGAGGCCTGTTGCATGGGTGGGGGCTGGCTGGTTTGCCCTGAAGGGTGTCCCGGAACAGGGTGGGGATCCCTCTGGGGTTTCTGGTCAGCCTGGGTGAGGGGCTGAGGGCTGTTTTCAGACTGGCCACACCCCCTTCAGGGTGGGGGTCCCCACTGGAGTGCCTGGCCAGCCTGGGTGAGGGGCTGATGGCTATTTTCAGGCTGGCCACACCTCCTTCAGGGAGGGGGCTCCTGCTGGGGTGCCTGGCCAGCCTGGGTGAGGGGCTGATGGCTGTTTGCAGGTTGGCCACAGCCCCTTCAGGGTAGGGGTCCCCACTGGGGTGCCTGGCCAGCCTGGGTAAGGGGCTGAGGGCCGTTTTCAGGCTGGCCACACCCCCTTCAGGGTGAGGGGTCCTGCTGGGGTGCCTGGCCAGCCTGGGTGAGGGGCTGATGGCTGTTTGCAGGCTGGCCAAGCCCTCCAGCCATGCAAGCTCCCAGTGGAGGCTGGCTGGAAGCAGGTATCTGGGATTTATTTATCTTCTATAATTGAAACTTTGTTGCCTTGAACGGAGGCTACAGCCAGCCAGGGCAGGCGGAAGCTTGGCTTCCTCCATCACCAGGGCAACCAAGCCTCCTGCTTGCTCTAGCTCCGTGGCTGCCAGCTGCCATCTTGGTTGGGTTAATTTACATATAGTCACTCTGATTGGCTGTTGGGTGTGGCTTGGGGCATAGCAAAGGTATGGTCAATTTGCATGTTTCTCTTTTATTAGATTTTATATATATATATATATATATATATATATATATATATATATGACATCTATATATATATATTTACTTTTTGTCCCCCCACTATAAGGTAAACCCCACATGGCAAAGACTTTATTTGTATTTCAATGCTTAGAACAATGCTTAGAACACAGCATATAATAGATTTCAATGAATATTTGTTGAATAAATGAATAAATGACAAAAAATACACAGGATCACTTATTTCTGGATTAGGAAGATTTCAAAGATTAATACAAACTTTTCTGAGTTTCTGACCTTGTGAAAAGAAAAAAAAATTATGAGAGAATTCAACTCATTAATTCTATGTTTAAAAAAACAAAACAAAGAAAATTAACTTTAAGTTGTTATGTGCATTAAGCAGTTACCTGATCTTTGAGATATTTTCTGATGTTTCGATGGGCTCGGGAGCATTCTGTTAATAAGCTGAGAACTGGAGTTAGGCCCTCTCTATAGCTGCTTCCCTAGAAAAAAAAGCCATACATGCTACATTAGTGTAGTTACTAATAGTGTTACTTTCCTCCATATAACTGAGCATGTTATAATACTCCTTTTTGAGGGGGGAACATTTTATGCTACCCAAGCTTTAAAAACCATTTAAAAAATTATTTTCCTAACGATATTTCCATTTCATCAATTAGCTTCATGTTTACTAAGGATTACTTTTATCCTTCCTGAATTTTGCTACTTTTTGTAGGATCCTCCCTGGCTTAATCAATGAGCTTAAGTGAGGCAAAGGCTTTGATGACCCACCAAACTACCTTGCTGCCTTTCAATATAGTTACCTGACAAAGCAAGTGATAGACTAGAGAAAATAAGCAACTCACAACAAATGGAAAGGTGGTGATTTTTCTTTTAAGGATGTCTTTTAGATAGTATAGAATGCGTTTATTATTAAGTTTTTTAGGGAGGTGATAATTTTTATTTCTAGGATTTACAAAACACCTACATAGAAAAGTAATTTTTCCCTTGTTTTTAGGCACTAGTTATAATTTTGGTGTTGCAGCAACACAATTTTCAGCTTTAAAGAAATAAATTCACTCGGTTTCATCAATTTATCATATATTGGAACAAAGTGCTTTCCAGAGTACAAATAATTATGCAAGGCGTCAGCTATTTTGAAAAGCTTAGATTTAAAAATCATGTCCTGCGATGTTTGTATATTTACATTCTTTATAAGCATTTTCCCAAGGCCTCCATTTTATCAGCCTTACCTTGTCTATTCTCTTCTCCATAAAATTGAGTAAAACATGAATGGCCTCCATATTCATACCATTGTATACCATGGTATTGTTTTTCAAAACTGTTTCTTTCTCAGCTGTTTTATCACTGGGCAGTTCATCTAGAGTCGTTGCCTCGTGGGTTGTTTCTTCATGTGTTAATGGACAAATGAGAACGTCCAAACAAGAGACCGGAACATTGCTTAAAAGGTTGACTGCATTGCTGAAAAGCAATTTAAAAATACGATGTTTTAATTTGATTGAATAGTCCTTTAAAATGCAAACACAATAACAAGTTCAGAAATGACTTTTAGGAATCAATTAAAATTTTTCTTTTTCAAAATAGCCTTTAATATTACTTGCGTTTATTAAGAGATAGAAAATAAAGAGAACTATTTCAAATACACATAAGACAAACTAGAAAGAACAGATGTTAAATGGACACACACAATCACATGATGTCATGTCACTTTCTGAAATGCTAAACTAGGAATTAGTGAGCTTTAACGCCAGTCTTCCATTTTATTATGACCAATGCTGCCTTTGCATTTTTTCCTTGGGGTTTTAAATCCTTTTGTGGATACACCGGTGTTTTATTATTCCTTAGATTACAACATAAAGCATTTGAAAAGCACTGTATATAAGCAGCTTATCACGGAGGCAACAACATTAAAAATCAAATATTATGAGATTAAGTTTTGTTCTTTCTAGATGTAAAAAATACAATTTTTAGATCATCCCATTTTTTTGTAAGACATTTGCAAAAAATGGGTAATGGTGCTTTTTCTTGCACTCTCATCACAGGTCTTTTTTAAAAAAGGCCAACACAGCAATTTTCTATATTGCCTAGCCAGTGGTCGACAAACTGTGGCTTGTGAGCCACATGCGGCCGACCACTGTCCTAGGACAGTGGTCGGCAAACTCATTAGTCAACAGAGCCAAATATCAACAGTACAACTGAAATTTCTTTTGAGAGCCAAATTTTTTAAACTTAAACTATATAGGTAGGTACGTTGTTATTAACTTAATTAGGGTACTCCTAAGGCTTAGGAAGAGCCACACTCAAGGGACCAAAGAGCCGCATGTGGCTCGCGAGCCGCAGTTTGCCGACCACGGTAGGCCTTTCTGCTATATGCTAATGAATGCACAAGCCTGGAATGCACACCAGCAGGGGGAACTCAAACCTTATATTTTTTGGTATTCCCTAAAAATCTGGCACTGTTGCTCAGTATACAAGAGATTAAAATGACACTGAAAATTTAAAAATTAGACATGTTCTCAATTAACATAGTTTCCTTCATGCACGATTTCATATTCTTTCATCTAAAAGGAGAAGCGGTGTTCTGTGCTAACTGGATCTTATAAACCTGTGTCTCAGAACTTCCTGATAAACAACAATGGAAAGACAGGCATTACATTTCCTAGTGACAGAGAAGCAGATCTAAAAATAGCCACATCCTGACTAAAAATAAACTCTTGCAAATGCAATTTAAAAGTCTAACCACTTGGAAACCAAATTCAGAGCTTAATCTATTTGATGCTGTCTTAATTTAGACCACAGTAGTTTCTTTTAATTTAGACTACAGTGACACTCTCAAGAATAAAACAAAATAAACAACATCAAAACAGAAATAAAATACAAGGATTTTTTTCCTCTCCTTTACCCTGAAGTGTGGCTCTATTTCCCACAGAATGAGTATTCTCTTTCTTTTTATAATATGGAAAATTTCATAAGAAATCAAAGTTTAAAAATTAGACAATGCAGAACAATGAATGGTAATGTCAAGGTATTAAAATTTCTGAGTAAAGAACAAAAATAATTTAACAAGTCCTAAGAATGAATGGTTCCTGGTAAAATACAAGTTATTTCATTGTCCCCACTAAAAATCGACTATAGCTGCTGCTGCTGCTATTACCATTACTATTAAACAAATCACCTAATTTTGGTTATTTGTAAATAACCACAAGTAGTTTAAATAAAATGCTTTCCTCACAAACTTTAAAAAAATTTTGCAAACATCTGGAGTTCCTTATCTATAGTTAAAAATGTTTTGCTTCTGACTTAAACATTTGGGAACTGTTATTAAATATCATACATTCACTAGGATTAAAATAAACAAAAGAACTTTACTTTAGAATTACTTTCTAAAACTGTACAAACCATTCTGAAATGTTAGGTTTGTTTTTTTAAAAAACACATTAGGGCAATTGGCTCCAGAGTCCATCAATAGTATAATTCTCCGAATCTTCCATAGAAACCACACTGAACAGTTTAAGACAATGCATTTCCTTACAAAGGAATGTTTCCCTTTAAATTCGTTTAAAATAAGCAGGTTCCAGGAATTTGGTAAGTTTAAGAAACCAAATGTAGAATTTGATTCAACAAATATTTGGAGGTTTTAGGCTTTTCAAGAAAAGTTCCCATTTTCTCATTTCTTATTAAACAACTGGGTTCCCAAACAACTACAAAATTAATTTTCTGGCTCACTGTGTTTGAGCTATTCTTTTTAAGTAAGGAAGGCCAGCTTTTTGAGCTCTGTCACTTCTCTGACAGTTTTATTTGTGGTAGAAGAGTGTATGAAATTCTCCAGCTACCAGGAAGTCAGTGACTATGCACAGATCCACACAATGGTGTTTGCATTCCTACTCCAGGGGGTAGAAATACTGTGTATATTACTCTCCCCTTTTCAGCTTCCTAGAGATCATTAATCACTGGGACATGACATCCTCCCACTCATGCTCCCAGCCCCCTCCTGATATGCAGATTTAAAAGCAAGGACTATTTAGAGATCCTTAATGCCCTGATTAAAGCCTTGTTAGTTTTATGGGAGGGAAGGCAATCTAAAATCCAGTCCTGTATAAATCACTGGACTAAACATAAATTTAATACCAAATGACATTAAGGAGTATGATAACAGTACATGTAGACCTACAGCTGTTAAATCTTCCTGGTCAAATGTGAGTTCTTTATGTTTGGGGCTCACATATCTTTATCATGGCTGGAAAATCTACTCAAGTGAACCTAAGATCTCCCAAAGATTTTCAGACATAAATATCTAAGTTTACTTTAACTCAATTCGGTAATTATTTATTAATTACATGTGCTAGGCATTGCTTCAGGCAGGCATTATGAAGAAAACAGAGACAAATCCCTGCCCTTATGGAGCTTATTTTCCAGCATGGAGAGAACAGTTAAGTAAACAAAACAGGTAAGTTCACTGAACAGAAGGTAATTAAGTGGTCTGGAAGGAAAACCCAGGCGGGTAAGATAGCCCAGGATAAAGGGTTATAATGGTTAGGGCAGACGTCACAGAGATGGTGTCATTTAAGCAAAGATTTAAAGGAAGTTAGGGAGTCTGCCATGAGCCCTCTGGGAAAGAGCTTTCCAGGAAGAAAGAGCAAGAACAAAGGCCCCAGGACAGGAGCAGTGAGACGTCTGAATTGCAAAGAAGTTGGTGTGGTTGAACCACCAGGCACAGAAGAGGAGTAGGACAGAAGATCATACAGATAACAGGGGGTCAGATTGGTCTTGCAGGCTTTTATAACTTTAGTTTTTATTCTGAGTGTAGTGGGGAGCCACTGCAGGGTTTGCACTGTGATATACTCTAACTTATGTTCAAAGGGCCACTCTGGCTCCTGCGTTGTGAACAGGAGGTAGCTCTGGCTCCTGCGTTGAGAACAGGAGGTAGGACATCAAAGCTGAGGAGGACCAGTTAGGGTGTTACATAATAATTCAGGTGAGTGCACAGAGGGATAACAGTGAAGTGGTCAGATTGGGATACATTTGGAAGGATTTCCTGATAGGCTAATGCAGAGTGTAAGAATCCAAGGTTCTAGCTTTAGCAAGTGGAAAGCTGGAGTTACCATAAATTGAAATGGGAAACACCATAGGAGAAGCACATTTTTAGGGGAAGGTTAAGAGTTTAATTTTGAATATATTAAATTTGGGATGTCTACTAGACTTCCTAGTGGAGATATTAGTAGGAAGTTAGCTATAAGAGTCAAGTTCAGGGAGAGAGATCTGGATTAGAGATATAAACTGAGGAGTCATTTGTAGATCAAGCATGTCAAACTCGCGGCCCACAACGAGTATTTTTGCAACCCAGCCAATATAACGGTATGTAAGAAACATTTTAATGAAAATTTCATGACTTAATTTTTACAATATCCTGTTATACATAATTTTTAATAATGAACTACAACGTTCGTTAATGACCGATTACTATAATCGTGTTGCATTCATTTCCCTTACGCACCTTACGTGCAGGCGCACCATTTCTCTCCACTAATACTAGCAGCGAATATTTTAGCAGTCGATTGCCACGTCATTAGTCTTGGACTGACTTGTTTGGTGTGCTTAACAGGTAATATTTAGCTTTCAGAGAACAAGAAAAATAGGTTTATTTGCGTTACGCTTATTAATTTGGGCAGTTATGCAGTATCTGGTAAGTTAATGTTCAAGAAAAAAATTAATTTTTATTAAAATGTTCTATTATTTTATGTTACTGATAACTCATTTATTTCAGCCCTTTGTATTCAGCATGTCTCTATCGAAATAAACCTACATTTCTATGAAAATTGAAGCTTTTGTTTTTTTGTGGCCCACATAAACTTAAACCTTGTTTATATGGCCCATGTTAGCCTTTGAGTTTGACATGCTTGATGTAGATGGTATTTACAGATAGAAGATTGGATTGGATCAGTAAGGGAGTGAGTGTAGACTGAAAGAAAAACACACACAAATAAAAACAACAAAACCCTATGAGGACTGAGCCTGGGGCACTCTATCATCCAGAGGCTGAGTAGTAGAGGAAGAAATTACAACTAGTGAGGTAGGAGGAAAACCAAGATAGTATGGCATCCTGGAAAAAAAGTATTTAAGACTGGAGTCACTCGTGACAAATGATGTGGACAGATTAAGAAGATAACTGAAAAATGTCTACTGGATTTAGCAATACAAAAGTCACCAGTGACCTCAGTAATAGCCATTCTGGTGCAATAGCGGAACTAAAGCCTGAGCAGATTGGATTCAAGAGATGATAACAGATGATTCAGCTGGTACCTGGAGGAAATTTTTGCGAAGGGCAAGAGAAGACGAGCAGGCACAGATAGAGAAGTCTCAAGAAAACTTGGATAATTATGGCTAGAAAGACGCCTGAATACTGATCTCAGCAAAGCGTACCTTTAAACCCACCGTGACTTGGTCATTGTTCTCTATTTCTT